CCGAGTTCGATCTTGTCAGGGATTGGGGAAGAGCATTGATCAGTGACGACGGGCACTGACATTGACCGAGGTCTGCACCTTACCACTCTCCTGAGGATGTGCTGCGGGCAGTGCAGCAGCCGGGTCCTCAGCTTTCGACTTACAGACACTTCTTGTCCAGCTGGTGCACAGGTTGAACCCGACCTTCCAGGGATATTCGCAGCAAGACTCGCAGGACACGGTGTGCAGAGAACTGCACAGAAGTGGCTGCCCCTTCATGCCACGTTACAGCTTGCAGGAGTTCCTTCGATGCGTTCTGGACAACATCCATGAAGAGCTTCGAAGAAAAGTGTCTTGCACCGAGTCTAGGGTGAAAGCGAGCAGTGCTCTCTCTGACGGCCCAAGCCCAAGGCCGGACGAAGCCTACGGCTCCCAGGGCTCCTCCGAGAACGGCCCCTGCCCAAGACGCTGCGCCGAAGAAGAGCGCAAAGCAGGGGCCTGATCCTGCTTTACCCGAAGGTACGACCTCAGCAAGTGACGCCGGGCCCAGCCGGGTGGCGCCGAAGATAGATGCAGGCCAGCCAATGCCAGGAAATCGAGAAGTGTTTTTTCATCTGGTGTGTTCGGCGAGTGGGAGGAACGCCTTCGTCATCTTCGACGGATTTCCTTTCGTCTGGAGGTCTGCCACGGTCTGCACGAACTCGGCGAGGCACCGGCACTGACCCGTTCAGAGACAGCTGTCAGGCGACACGCTTCAGCGGGGTTCTTCGGCAGCGCAACAACTCATCCAGCCGGGGCCCCCGGCAGTTCCAACAATCCAAGACAGTGATGTTGAAAAGAGCTGGATCAACGGTCTTTAGTGCCCTGCAGGTTTTGCCAGGGGCCAGAGAGTACCACGGACATGGGAGAGATCAGGCTCTGCGCGAAACGAGTGTCGAGGACAATTTTCAGCCTCAAGCCGCACTGGAGGTTATCCTCTACTGGCTCTGACTCAAGGCACATTGAGCTTCAATATTAGCTGCAGTATTGGGCAGACTGGGTTGTATTCCTGTAGAGTCGAGATAAGAGTGGCTTTACCAGTGCAGTACCGCTTTTTGCTCGAAGGTCCTCTGACAATGTGGATGAGCCATCTGCATCCAGCGGCGATCTCAGAGCATACGGCACTCTTGCGGGCTACGGCGACGGCCATCTGCAGTTCGGGTCAAGCATGCATGTAGCCGGTGCAGCAGCGTCGCTGTGGGGGATTTTGGGCGGAATGCAGAAACAGAGTGGGGATGCAGGTGACAGCAAGGAGGTCATGGCGCGAGGGGTGGAAGTGCTGGGAGGGATGTGCGAATGTGGGGGAGGGTTGTGATCAGAGCAGCAACACGAGGGGGCTCTGAGTTCTGCGTGCCCAACGTTGGATTATTTTGGTGGGAATCGGGCGTGCGCTTCAGGCCAAGCTGCCGCAGGCCAGTCCGGAAACAACTCGAGGGCGCCTCGAACACCTCGGAGAGCATCAGCTTCAGAATCTGACTTGCGGAGGCGGGGCCCAAGGCTCCGATGCGGAGCCGAAAACTCACTTCGCCCGAGACCTAGTTCAGCTCAGCTGCGCAGAAGACCATGGGCTGGGACGAACTCCAGGAGTCCATTGTCTCCGAGCTTTTTCAGGGCAAGGTCGTCTCATGCGTCCCGGACCGAGCTTCTACTTGCCTGATCGATTGGTGGGTCGGCGGTGCTTGCACTGCTGCTGCTGCTGCTGCTGCTGCTGCTGCTGCTGCTGCTGCTGCTGCGGCTGCTGCTGCTGGTGTTGTTGCTGTTGGGGCCCCGTTGCTTTGTTCGTTTCTTCGTGCCATTAGCTTTTCTCGGCGCCAGGTGAGATGCCTTGAATGCAGACAGATATCCAGGCCGTGTCGACCATTCTGGCAAGCTGCGTCCTTTCTGCTGGGATCGCAAATGCCTGCTCTACTACTACAGGACGTCAGAAGCCGTCTATGATATCTCTGTGCCCCGTTTTTGCCTAGACTGCTATGCCGCAGAGTCCAACAGCGACATGTCAGTTGGATGTGAAGCAAGCCACGATGGGCGCTGTGTCAGTTCGTGTGCAACGCAAGCATAGCTGTTGATCCTTCCACTGATCCTGAAGCTGACCGGTAGCCATCGGTAGTTTGGAGAGGTACCAATACCGAGTGCAAACGAAACTGCACCTTCTCCCGGCGACGGCTCGCCGCTGCGACACGCTCAGAAACTCCAAAAACTTAGGTTGATTCGTCAGTTCGGTGGAGATGAGGTCATCCGTCGGCTCGTCACCCAGCCTGCAGAGACAAGGGCAGCGCACTTGGCGGCATTCCACCGTGTTTGAGGCGTGATGCCATGTGGTACCTCTGACTCGTGTATACGTTTGCAGGTCTGGTGGGTTGCGGAGCTCGTCCTGGTCGGGTGTTTTGAATTCTGTTGGTGGCAAGGCTGGTCGACAGCGGTGCCAGATTTCCTTGCCTCTGAGCCTTGACTTGGGGGATGCTCTACAGGTCAAAAGCTGGTTTTACGCATGCAGCCCAGGATTTTGCTACTCCAGGCAGACTGGATGTAGGTTGGAGTGGCCACAAGCTGAGGACAAAGGCGTACACCTGACCGACTGCCTTCGGAGGTGCCGTGTCTACCGGTCTCTGCGCGTGAGAGTCACGCAGTCTGTAAGTTATTTGCTGCATGTGAGCTGGCGGTTGCGCCACCAGAACAGTGTCTTTGCCGGAGATCCTATCGCGGCCGTATTTTGTCCTGCTTCCACAGGTGGCAGCACCAATGAATCGTTCAGTTTCAGCAGAGTGGTACAGCATTTTTTTAACAGGACTGCAAACAGGAACCGGTTGAGCATACACGCGAGTCCACGCCGACTGGGGCTTTACAACTCGCAACCGCACCTGGAATCCATCGCTTCTCAAAACATCAACCGAGTGAGCGTCCGCACTGGCTATCCGCTCGGGGTGGGCACCGGGCAGCGTGAAAACGGGCTGTCGAGTCTTGCGGTAGCGAGCATAACAGACATTCCGCAGTGTGGGATGTGGGTAGCCTGACAATGACGTTTCGTACTCGTTGATGTGACAAAGCAGTAGCAACAGGGTTGTGTAGCCGACTCGGTCGGTTGCTCTGGGGGCTTCGGCCAGCCGGTATACTCGAGTAGCACAGCAACGAGAACCATCGTCTGCATGCAGATTTGCGGGGTGTTTATATCGATGGTTTATCGAGCAGTCGGCTTCGAGAATTAGGCATCTTTGTTGGGTCTGCTGCCACTATGTAGTTGAAACGGAAGCAAACACCGCCGAAACATCAGCGACCGCGTGGCGTAGGCTGTTTCGAGGCTTCCGGCAACGGTATCAAAATGCAGCGTCCGCTGACGTAATTTCTTGAATCTCATGTGTCTTTGCATGCCCTCTTGTAAAATGTAAAACACAATCCCTAGATTGCCCTAGATCCTCGATCTGTAAAGCCTGTTTCACTGACGAGCCACACAAAATCAGCAGCCCCTTCTGCCTGATGCCTGTGTCTGTGGAGGGAATTGGTCCTGTTCATATGCATGTGTTTGCCCGCCGAAAAACGATTTCCTCAGTACCGCAATTGGAGCTGCCACGATTCCCCGATGATTCGGGAAGCAGGTCGCATAGCAAGACAGCTTGGCATTTCACATTCGCTTCGGTCGACGGTGGGCGATCACGCAGCCATCGCTGCTACTGTGCGTCACCGAAGTCAATCATAGCGCGAACCAGATCAGACTTGCCGTATTTACAGATAATGTCGCAGCTTCATGGACACTGGAAGTGTGTGAGGTAGGCAGAATCGCTAGTCTAGCACGGGGGCGTCAAATACAAATGAGGTACTGTGCTCCAGAATACCTGGGCGGCAAGGACACGCTTGCACGTCATCAGAACTGACAGTAAATGGTGTCGCATAATGCATCAACTCTCACAGGACCAATACTTCTGTGAGCGGTGCAAGCGAAAGAACGACTGCGAAAAGCGCATGGTCTTCAAGGACGGGATGTTTGTGCTTTCCAGCGGCTTCGAGGCAACGAACGCCGCACTTGCAGGAGCTGCCTGAGGTTCTTTGTATCCACCTCAAGCGCTTCAGATTCGATAATGCCTATGGCTGGTCGCTTGCCTACGCTTAGCATGCCTGCAAATAAACGAGCCTGTTGCGGGCTCATCGCACGAAGCCTACTGCACTCAGGTTCAATGGATCCAAGAATTCTCGCGTGGTTAACTTTCCCGTCGTCGCACGCTTGGAGCACGTCCCATCAGACTCCACGAAAGCACAAGCATCCGGATCTCAGACCACCACCCTGGACATGGCACCCTTCATGGAGGAAGTGCCGGCCCAGTGCGGAGCTCATGGCGTCATGGCGTCCACCGAGCGCCGGGCATGACGGACACATCCAAAGGGGGAGTAGCGGTATCGGCGTTGTGAGTTCCGTTTAGGCTTCCATGCAGTGCTTTGCTCCCTCCCTCCTCACATGATGCCCTCCGCTTCCCACCCATGACAACCTCTTCTTGCTTATGGGTTTCGTGTTAATCTCTGACCCCCATTGTCCGCCCCAAGCAAGTGCCCTATGGCAAGACGTGGTTTTGGGTGCTTCAACCTGCCACAGTGCCACAATGTGCCACAAAAAGGCGAGGTGATGTAAATCCATCATGCGTTCGCGCGAGTGATGGCGTGGGAGAGGTCGCGTGTGGCAAGTGATTCGCTCGATTCGCACGGCCAGATCATGCATCATGAGCCGCTGACAGTAGGTGTCATGCATGGCGATGGAACTGCTAGATTGCTAGATGCTGCCAGTGTCATCCGATCCGTACATTAGGCTTGGGCTTGCCCTGCCCGAAACAACCCGCGGGGTTGTTGGAGGAGGGCGGACTCCCTGGACCTTGGGGAAGTCAATGATTATGAGCCGTTTGCAATCCTTCCAAGAGGTTTTGGTCCATTGGTTGTGTGGCAGTGAGAGAGTGTACACATGATGACAGATGCTTGGACCCAGGCCTATAGAGTACAGGCCGGACTGTGCTGTTGAACCTGTTCACCTCAGCCGCATGCCAGACTTGGCTTGTGGAGGCTCATTGGTCTCATTCAGCACATCGGTTCGATGGGCGGTGGCCACTACATCTCGTACTGCCAGCACAAGAGAAAACCTCAGGCATGTGCTCATGGGGATGGGAGCTGACGTTGCTGGTGGCTGCTCGTGTGTCACTCCCAATTCGCCTGGGAGGACTGGTACGAGTTCGATGATGTGCAAGTCACATGCGTCACATCTGAACAGGTGGTGGTCTGATTTCGGTCCTCGGAGATCGCAACCTGAGTTCGACTTTATCGGCACTTGTTGCAGGTTGAACGTGCAGAGCCTTATGTGCTCTTCTACCAGCGTGTCCGGCCCTAAGATGTTGGGGCAGGGCTTGAAAGGGTTTGTAGGGGTCCTTGTTCACTTGATAGATCATGGCACTGAGCAAGGTGATTGTGAATCGTGGGTTTCAGGTACACTACCTAGGCTCACCTTGCTTCCAACTCTACGTCTACGGTACGTGACCGTGGCTGCTCGACCAGTCCGTCCCCACGGTCCGAATCGTCGTCGCAGTCGTGGCTGGATTCGTAACTCTTGACTTGAAGCTCAGAGTCTTTTGCATGTGTTGCCCAGGTGCCATCGAAAGCAGCCAAGCGCGATAGACAGACCTTCAAGCATGACATGCGCAGCATCCAGGCCGAAGACGTTTCCACGGGTTGCGCATCTCACGGGGGTTTCCTGACCACGCTGCTGAGCAGATGGTGGCCAGGAGCAGGTGAATAGTTACCTGATCTCGCAGTCGCAGTCCAGCTCCAGGCAGAGACGTCCCCTCGTTGGATCGGACTCTCGTAGAGACGTCGTAGAGTCGGCTCAGGCCTGGCAGATCCAGCGAGGCGACGCGACGGCGCTTTTTGTGGCGAACGTGTTTAGCGAATGTGGTTTGCATGTCGCACCCGTCCTTTTGGATTTCGGGAGGATCTGCAGAGCCTGCAAGTTGCACCGGTGCCGCAGGCATTTGGGGGCGTTGCCGTGTTGCCCACACCAACACAGCACATGATCACTACATGATACTACATGAATCCCATTTGGCGAGGCCGTTACAGATGAAATCCGGAATCA